TGTTTGACACAAAGAGATCTTTTGCATCCAGATGCTAGTAAAGTCAGTGGACAAGCCTGCTGGTCATAGTGCTGCTAACCCCATCAATCAGGCTGCCCAAGTGAAGCCACAGTGTGAGCTTAAACAGAAAGACATGAAGTCAGAGCTGGTGATCTTGTGTCAATGCTTTAAGAGTAAGTTCAAACTGTCCTGATGCCATTTATATCTATCTGAAGTCTATTACAATATGATCCACATGCAGAAATGTTATAGAAGATCACTGACATGCCTATTAAAATATATTTACATTAACATTAAGTGCTTCTTCCCTTATCCAGATAAGATGCTCAGATACACACTGCATGTAAACAGCATTTTTCATGCATACAAATCAGCAGCATAATCCCAGTAGTATCACACTAATGCATTTTTAGGATTTGCAGCATTTACATTTCTATTATGTTCAAGAAAGTCTTTAAATGAGTTGTGCGAAGTTACAACTCAACAAACAGTAAATTAGTTTTTTTACAGTTTCAATATTAGCTCCAGTTTTCTCTTTTAATGTGTTTTTACTACACATTTATACTGCTTCCATACATGTCTTCTATCTGCCAACTGTGACCCATGTGATTTTGTTTATCCATTGATTTAAATTTAGCATATTTAACAGCGCCATGCACAATAATCCTTTTTGCTCCAGTCCTATTTTTCTTCACTGTGGACTCATTTTCACAGCGATACAAAGTCGAAAGAAGAAGAAAACCTGAAAATGTTGTGCATATGCGATTAGTCGTAAAATAAAAAAGAAAACATAAGATTTTCATTTCTTTGATTATTTATACGTACTGAAGTTGATAAATCCTGGAATCAAGTTCCCACAGCTGTTGGTCACACTGAGAATAAATGGTGACTCTTTATACTTTAGATAATACACTATTTATGCATTTGATTTGTTTCCGTACTCGTCTCCTCTCGCTCTCTGTGAACACTGCCTGCAGTTAATCCAAAAAGTGTATTTTTGGCTGATTGTTAGTAGAATGACTGAAAACATGTCAAATCATCTTGAAGAATCATGATTTTAAGCCTAGAGTTGGTTCATTTTACCACAGTACATTCATCACTGATGAGTCGTTTCAGAATGGTAGAAAAATTGAAAATCTGATGATTGTTTTTGTTTTTACAGCTTCTGGCTCAGACAAATTGTGTATTTTTGTTTGTTTATTTAAAGGCAACGTGCCTCTGAAACTCTCCTGTGGGTTTTAGGAGTTCAGAGGGTTAATAAGCACTGCTGTGAATGCACCAGAGTTAGCCAGAAGACTGTTTTTCTGTAGTCATTGTACAGTGTATGTGAAATAATAATAACTAGAAGCGAGGATGTTCATGTTGGCTTGATGACTTAGATGTCCAACCTGTTCATGCAATATGTGGCAGAAGACCTGACAGCACATGAGGAGTGTTGAGTCTGACACGACTCATCGCTGGACAGAGGTCAACCAAAGCACACCCACACACAAGATGTGTTCACACAGTTAGTTTTCTCAGGACATAGGAGCAGATTTTTGAAAACCATTACCACTGCTAATAATAAAAACACAAATAATAATCTTCATTTATACAGTGCTTTAAATCAAAGTATGCAGCAAAAAGAACAATCATCCGATTTAATGCATTAAAACAACACAGTGTTGGGAAAGGTAAAAACTGGACCGTTCAAAGGTAATTAATACTGCAGCGCTGGTTTTATGTGCTCTAAAGTGAAAATCTCCTGCCAGAGTTCAGTGCTGCTGCAGAAACCCAGTCGTGATTGTCTCCTCTGCTCTGTAAGGAGACCGTAGTAAAAGGTCAAGTAGTCATGATGAGTGATGACATTGTAATGAAGCTCCTGTTGGGTACTGACTCACCTAGTTGGACCAGTTCATGGGACATGTCCCAACACACACACACACACGCACACACACACACACACACACACCTACACACACACACACACACACACACACACACTCACATACGCTTGCATGTGTGGCTTCACAGTTGGTCTTCTTCCCTTTTTCAAGCTGAGCAGTTCACCACTGGTACATTAAACACGGTGCAGAGTGCCGACAGCAACTCCAGCATGAAATTTTCCCTCGTGGACTCGACTGATCTCCCCAAAATTTGTCTGAGCTAGAAGAAGGCCTCAGGTACAAAACCGTTTGCCAAGCCAAAGAAAAAGCTGAAGCACCACATTTTTAAAAATACCACAGTTTCACAGCAGACAAACACAAAACTGAACTGCTATCTGAGAATTCCAAGCCGCCGGATGCTGCAGATAGGATTGACAAGCTCCACAATGTATGAAAATCAGGACCAATAATAGATCAAAACTCTCCTCACGTCACTGATGGTTGTGTTTTATTACAGGGGGTCTGATTTTTGTGCTGACTTTAGTAACATTTTAACTACTAGTCGTTGCAGAGATCCTGGACCCTCCCAACAGTACCAGAACTAACTGGGACATGAGTCCCATTCTGGCTACAGCAGGGCTGTACAGTGTTGACACCCTATGACCAGACAGACATTTATAGAGCCGCATAGTTTGAACAATAGGAACAAAGCATTATCCTAAATGTATATGAGCAGTTTTAGAATACAATACAGGCTAAAAGCAACGCAGCTGCAGCCAGAACAGGAAAGAATAAACACCAACAGTGTGAAAGCGTAAATGAATCCTTATTCATTTAATCTAATCTATAATTACAATTGTGTATCCCGTTAAATATATGTACTGCTTAGATGTAGTGTAACCTCATGATGTGTACGACAGCCTTACTGCTGCAGCCCTGGTGGTGTTTGACAGTATTGGAAGCAAGTAAAGAACCAATATTTCAACTGTGAAGCAGGCTTACTGCCAGTCTTATATGGTCAATAAATGCAAGGTTTTTTAACTGTGAGCAGTCTCTGTTTTATGACTGTGCTGCTGTAAAGCTTATAGGACAGTTGTTTAGAAATTATTTGTAGCCAAAAGGAACAAAATGAGACTGGGGTTCCCTCCACTGAGAATTAATCTCTACTAGCCTATATTCTCATCGCTGGCTCCCCAGGTAAAGGGTTACAGTGGTCTCAAACGCTCACCTTCTCCTCTCACTGTCTGCACACCGAGCATCTTCTAAAATTTGGTGATGCCGTTTTCCAAGAGAATTGACTGTAGTAGTTGTTGTAGTCAGTAGGAGATGTTTTATTATGCATTGTTCTGTTATCTGGAACAGAACCTGCTCCGGAGCAGGTGTTCAGCGGAGTTAACCACTGTGATGCACTGTGGGAAGAACTGAACCACCTCCGTGGCCCTAAAACAACAGAGTTTAACCTCTAGTTACCTCGCTTACTCCAGATCCTGCTTCCTAGTACAGGCCTCAGTTGTTTCATCTCAGTCGTCTAATACGGCTGTTAATTTTGCCCAAGAGATGTTTTCTTCGAGTGATGGATTGTGACTAGACAGCTACCAGCTTTGAGGTTCTGTATTTGTGTTACCGCCCCTCCCCTATTGCAAAACAGGGCCTCTGGCCACAGCTTTAAATAAGGATGTGGTCTCAGTTAACCCACGTTTCAATAAGGAGTAAAAATGCAAATTCCAAGGCAGTGAAGGGTTTCATACCAGTGCCCCAGACTGCCCTCTGAAAGCTGCTCAGTGTGATTTCAGCACCTTGGACAGCAGCACAGCTCAGCAGGACAAACATGCGCCTGTTTTTCTGCAACCTTTCTGCTTCACTGACCCAACAAAGAGGAGGAGACTGACTGAAGTGCATGAAGGTGTGATTGTTTGGCCACCTTAGCCATGTGTCTGCTGTGACCTTGCACATCTCCTGTTATTTCCCCAAATTTGTGTTTACGAGGCAGACAGACGCACAGACAGGCTGCGAGGACGAGGACTGCTGCAGCAGTGTTTTTGAATCAATCGGTGACCCTGCCGACGGAGTGTTTTCTGCGTTGAGACAGACAATGTGCACCCCAACGCGGCCCCTGTGTGCATCTGATATATGAAAGCGTTTGTGACTTTGGGTGGCGTCCTGTCTGTTTGCCTCACTGTCACCCTCTGTGGTCGCTGCTGGGAGAGGGTTGCCATCGGTGCCTCCCTCCTTCTCTCCTCTGCTCCTCCCTTTATTACTCCTCTACCTCACTTCCTTCGTATTAATTTGTTTTTTCCTTCCTCTGTTCGTCACTCTCGTTGCATCCCAGTCTTTTTCCCTTACTCACTCTGTAAATCCTCTTTCCTGCTTTTCATCATCATCCTTTGCTTGAACTCATGGTCTCTCATCTTCGCTTGTCTTTCCCTGCTCGTCTGCATTCCACCTTCCTCCCTCCATTTTTGCCTCTCACAGCCAAACAAGCACAAAATATCAGTCAGCTGAGGGGGTCTGGCCTCTTTGGTTCAGCCAGGACCTCTTAGCAAAGAGTTGAAGGGTGACTGCAGGAGCAGAGAGGGAGGGAGTAGGCTGTAGGAAGTCATGGAGTGCAAGGGGAGGCGTTAGCTGGCGGGGCCTGGGACCTGAACCAGACAGACAGTGAAACGTCACCACATCAAACCCAGACTCCCCGACTGTGATCACATTCTTGTGTGTGCGCGTGTGGGTCTGTGTGTGGTGATTGTGTGTGTGTGTGTGTGTGTGTGACTGGGGGTTCACAGTGTTAGTAGCTCAGAGCCAGCTGAGGCTGCAGTAGAGACAGACAGAGACAGAGGCACTGAGCAGCACATAGCAAACACCACTGAACCACTGTATGTTGAGTTGTATGGGACCAGGATATCTGTTTTTGGGAGGAAAACTGGCCGGTGAGAGTTCGGGTGCATGTGAGTATTTTACGTGTGACAGAGTTCTCAATGTAGGTGTTTTCAGTGAAGCTGTACGTGTGAGTAATCTGTGTGTTTGTGTTCAGCAGAGTGTGCGTTTAACAGCCTCGCGTCATTAAATCAGCGTTGTACAGTAGCGCGTCATCAGCGAGGAGGGGGAACTAATGTTCGATGATGTGTGTTGTCACCACTGCAGGTTGTAAACTGACCTCGGCTGGACAGATTTCAGCATCGCGCCCAGAGCCACAGGGAGAGGTGCGGCCACGCTCACTCGACCAACAGCAGGCCTTGGCTACAGACCTCTTATCAGGTACCAAGGTCACGAATGTTGGTCCAAAGTGACAGTCACAGTTAAATAAATAAATAAAACAATATTTTAAAAGTATGGCTTTCATGTCAGTTCCACAGTACTTTCTCCAGGATGTCATTTTTCTGTACTGTTAAGGTAACAGGCCGTTTTAGAACCAGTCTCATAGGAAAGTTATTTATGTTTTTGTACTGTTACACAGTCGCCGATTAATAGTCAGATACTGTCTTTTAAAAATAGCTGCATGTTTTCCAGAGCTGTTTTCACTGATTATGAATGAACCTGTACTTGAATGTCAAAACTTGCTGGAACTCAGGTCAGAACAGAGGTCATGGATCATAAAACTTTAGATTTGAGTTCATTCATCAATTTAAAATTTTAATTTTCTCCCTTTATGTTTTATATTGTTATTTTTTAAACTTTGCTTGTTGCTACTTGTAAGGTGTCCTTGAGTTTTCTGAGTGGCACCTATAAACAAAATGTTTTAATTATGATTGTTATTATTATTAATATTAATATTAATATTAATAATCAAAAGACTTTATACTTGACTTTGACTCATGCTTTTAATTGGACTTGACCAAGCTCATGGTTGAAAAGTGATTTTACAAAGAGCATGTAGCCAGTCAGCTATGAAACAGTCTTGAGAGCAGCTGATCACATTACAGGAGCTGAAGGGAAAGGTGTGTGTGGCTGTGCACACCAGCAGACACATCAAAACAACCTGTTCTTTCAATCGAAGCACAAACTCAGTACTTTGACTGAGACTTTTTTTTTTTTTTTTTACTTCATTGCCAAGACTTGCAAAACAGTGACTCTGTCCCATGTCTGGGACATTCTTAGTCGTCAGGCTCTCAAGATAAAAAATACTTTTAATCGTATCAGAATCAGCTTTATTGACCAAGTAGGGCTCCAGAGTGTGAGCATTTTGGTTAAATGTACGACCAAAAATCTGTCAACTCCGGCATTTTCATTGGTAATATTTAGCAGGACTGTATATACAGATATAATTTTTAAAAATCAGACTTTAGAATGCCGTATTTCACTGTTTTTAAACTAATATTTTGTCACACACCTGCCTGAGTGCATTGGAGTAACTTGAGTGGAGACTAAAGGCTTCTCTGTGCTCATTTGGCGAGCTAATATCTGCTGATACAAGTGAGGCATTTAGGGAACATCAGTAAACTATAGAATCCACCAATAGGCTGCATGTGGAGCCTTAAAGGGACATGTGTAAACTGTAGCTTCACTCAACAAGATGGGTTACACTTTTCCCCTCTGAAAACTACATGGTGCAGGTAAATTCTCAACGTGTGAGAAACACTGATGTATGATGACATAGCCAACTTTATGCACCGCATTTATTGCCAAGTGCAGACAAACCCCGACCGGGAACAGCACTTTTACTGTCGGAGCATCAGTGTTCTGAAAACAGTCACCGTCACCACAGTGTTTCAACACCCAGCAACAGCAAAGCGAAGCTGTGGAGAGACAATGATCAGAATGAAATTCAACATGGTTTAAGTTCGACTTTAAGTTCCAGACAATCCTGATAAAAAAGGAACAGAACATTCACCTTTATTCCTGTTTTCCATCATTTACACATGATTTTAAAGTGTGTATAGGTGTTATTTGCACCAGAAGGGTGGGTGGGTAAGCAAGCAAGGAAGGAAGGAAGGAAGGAACTAAGGAAGCAAGCAAGCAAATAAGCAAGCAAGCAAGGAAGCAAGCAAGGAAGCCAGGAAGGAAGCAAGCAAGCAAATAAGCAAATAAATAAAAAAAAATTTAAAAATCATCTAGGTGCACCTAAATAAAAAAGTTAGGTGCACAATTGCAACCAAAGTAAAAGTTAGTCTGGAGCCCTGTATGTCGACTAAGTATTCAGCTGACTCAGTGGCACAGATACAGATGGAGTGTATGTGTCACCAAACACTGTCCAGATAAAGAGAGAAGCCTTTAGATTGTACAGGCAATATTTTTGGAAATAGATACAATACAGTGCTATGTATGCTCAGAGTAAGCTACAGTAATAGTATTTGCTTTCAATGCTTTTCCTCTTCTTGTTTCCTCTCCTTGTTGTCTACCTCTGCCTCACCCACTCTAAATTGTTAATGCCCTTATGCCCAACAACACCTCCTACTCCGTCTTCTCCCCTCCTTGCTCTGCTCCGTTCACTGCTTCATCTGTCTTTACCTCTTTCTCATTTCTCTTCCCCTCTCGTCTCCTCTTGTCCTCTTACCTCTCCTGCGGTTCTTTGGCTCCCTCCTGCCAGCCTCCATGGCAGGTTATTCAGATCCTCTGGGCTCTCAGACCAGCCCTGCCCAGATGATGGATACTGGCCTGATGGGAGCTTTTTCAGGTATACACTCCCGTATTTTCTTTGAACTGCCACACAGCAGCAATGTGCAACTACTGTAATAACAGCAGCAGTACTAAAAGTAAGAAGCATCACTAAACAAGTGTAATGGCGAAATTAAATCATGGTGCCTTTTGTTGGAACACGTGTTGCCATTGTTTGCATACCAACCTGTTGGACTGTGTCTTTTTTAGCATTGCAGAATATATACTATAACATTTGGCCGTAATCAAGGACATAATCAAGTCGATTTAGGGTATTTTTTAAAATACTGACCACAGATTTGGTCATCTTTATTTTCCATACCAAAAGAAAAAGCAAACCAATTAAATAAATGTGTTTAAACATAAACGCTTTTAAACGTTGCTGCACACAAGTGGTAACACACACACACACACACACACACCATCATATTCTGACAGACTGAGCAGTAATGACAGTAGCTATTAGCATAATCGGCAGCATGCAGCTCACATTTTGAGCTATCACGACTTAAGCCTCAATTTTTCTATAACTCAACTGTTTAAATTGTATTATGGTTATTAATATAAGTTGTGCTTAATTAAGAGTGTGGCACTTGGAGTGACAGGTGGATGGATTCATAGGAGAGTCCGTGGCCCACCTCAGCTACACTTGCGCTCTTTGATCATTTTTGAATTAGTCAGAAGTTGGAAGGAGTCGGGTCGTGTCAGGATGGCAAAAGCTGGAACCACCACACCAGCTTTGAAACTGCTGTTCAGAAAAGCTGTGGGCACCACCACAGATAGTTTATCTGAACTGTAAGATGATGCTACATAAAGCTGCAGCTCTATTGCATTGCTTGAGAAATGTCTGAAGAGGACATATTTTGGGTTAGGGTTAGAATCTCATTCTTTTATCATTGTGAAGGAAAACTGCCCGTTACATGACAGGATCTTGAGATATTTACACACACATGAAAGATATGGATTCATATTCAGCATGTACAAACACAAAGCAGACACATTAAGAAAAACAGGAGCAGTACACACTAAAGCATCACTCAGCAGAAGCTTCAACTGTTGCACGTTTATTAATTAGTCGAACCAAAGAAAGACGCCTCTTCCACTTATCAGGAGCATATTAGGTGAAAGCAGTTTTTCCCAAATCCAAATTAGTTGTCGTAGAAATATCGTGCAGTGCTATAAGTTTAGTTTACATCGTCTATGCAGTTCTTATAGGTCAATTTTCCAGTCTTGTTTTTGTTCTAGATTTGAAAATGATATGATAAGAGACTGACATTTCAAAAACGCAGTCCTGCAAACGAACATTAACCCTCAATCACTGTGACTCATAACAGCAACTGTAAATGATATTTCGCTATCCAAATCTCTTTGCTCATTAGACTTCCCACCTCGTTAAAAATATCACTTCGGTCCAACAATTTGCTTTGAATCTGCGGTTGTAAAATCCACCCTGATGAATGGCTTGTGGTGAGGCAGCGCTTGTTAGTTGCATGCAGAGCTGTAGCTGTAGCTGGCTGTGTGTCTGCTGGTGCTCTACAGAGCGACACACACACACACACACACACACCCCCAGTGTGAGCTATGAGGCTGAGTTATGCCTTTCACCATGCCAACCTCTGCAGACCCAGCTCTCCCTGTTGCCTTAATGAGACCTGTCGTCTCTGGGCCACCGAATCACTGCTTCAGGCTCCGACACGCACACACGCTCTTTCTCACAAACACATTCCCTTAGAAATACACACACAGCTGACACTTGCATCCATGAATGCCCACAAAATGACTCTCTAGTCCTGTATCCACCAATCCAGAACACACACGAGAACTAATGCGGGCACGAAATTTGAAACAATCTCATTAATTGATGTGTATTTACACAATTCACATGAACAGTATTATAGACATGCAGAGCTTTGTAATCTCAGGCAGGTTCTACTAGTTTATCTCATCCCTACTGTTCTTATTCAGACCTATATAGACACTCAGATGGTGTCCTGTGATGGATGACGACTTATGTGTGATATTTTATCTTCTGCTCCTTTATCCCTTTTTGCTTTGCTCCCCTCTTTCTCTTATTCTATCTTTATTTTGTCAATATACAGTGCAGCATGCTGACTTGTGCATGTTGCGACAGATGAGCCAAAAGAGATGCACCCATTGCCGTCTTCCTTCCACTTGTTTTATCCCCAAGGATACAAGATGGTTCCCCAACAGGCCGGGGGACATTGGCATACCAGATATTAAATGAGAAGACTACCCTCCATTAGAAATTAGAGTAGTAACAGAGAGAATCCTCGGTATTTACTGTGTATTCTCCTTTGTGTGCCTCTGTTTCTCAGGTTTCTCCCAGCCTGGAGGGAGAGGGGTGACTGTGGAGGTGGGAGCTGCACCCCTCCAAGCAGACAGGCCTCCAAGTATAGCGGAGCCCCAACATCCCATACCCGCAGCAGGGTCGGATGCCCCTAAGGAGCACAGCCCCATGCTTCCTGAACCCCAGGTTCCTCGCAGCCCTCTGGATCTGTCAGGAGGTAAGACACATGAACTCACAGACCACACTGCTTCTCTTCAACAGTGCTTTTTTTTGTGTTTTTTACTCTGGTGCTGGTTACATGTTTACACCTGGAAGCAGCCCGGTGCAAGTTGCATTTGTTCCCATGTGGTCAATCCAACTGAAAAACACAATGGTATCTCTACATTTGGATAGATGCATGCACAGTGCGACAACCACACAAACTAAGCTTCTCCGCAGTTTTGAAGAAGATTTTTTGGAGGTCCCCAGATTTACATTTTTCTGCCCTGATAATAATATAAAGTAATAATAATCAGCTTTATTTATGGGGCACTCTTCAAAACAAAGGTTACAAAGTGCTTTCCAATGCAAATAAATTAAAAAATAAAACACAATAAGCACACAGAATAATTGATAAAAGTAGAAAGCACACAAATGAAGCAGGAAGCCATAAAACATAAAACTTAGATTAAAATGTTTCCAATCCCCAGAATATGTGCTGACAGATCCAGAGTCCTATCAGACGACCAGTGCTCTTGTTTTCTCTTCATTCAAAAACTGTACAACTCTCCTTGTGAACAGATTGAAACCAGCTAGAAGCTACTCTTAATTTTTAACTTTAAGTGAAGTAATTCATACGCCGATATCCTTTTAACATGTCTACAAGACGTGGTATTTGTCGTTATGCCTTATTTAAACCATACAGTGTTTCTGACCACCTCCAACATTGTGGCTGTAACACGGTATTTCAAATGAATTAAACTGGTAGTTTGAAAAAAAAATTGTGTTAAATACTCTTTTAAAGGTTAAACAGTTTTGCTATAAAAACCAGCCTTTAGTGGCATTCTTAACAGCTACACTTTGATTAAATGCATTAATTGTAAAGCACACACAGGACAGGAAGAAGTGCTTTACATGTAAAATCAGCAAAAAATGAACAGAACAGAAAGTTGTTCAGTCTAATGAGGCCTGGTCACAACAATTTATCCTTTGACAAATTAAAAAAGAAAAACGTCTTTCTTTTTCTGACCCCTTTCTGCTTTTTACCTTTGAGAAACTGTTTTAGTTGAGGGGGTTTTTGGACTACAAATGATCCAAAGCCCCTTTCAGATGTGCACTCCTAGTGACAGTTCTGTATGACTTTCAACACGGCACAAGTCTGAACTGCACCATCATGTTACCAACGAAAAGAATCATACGTCCAGTTGTGTGAATTGCTTTACCAAAGTCTTTTTTTTTCCTTTTTGGCCCCATTTTTGTTTTAAAAAATTATCATAGCGCACAAAACACAAAGTGTGCTTCCAAAATCACAAAATCCTTTTTGTAATTTACTTTGTGCTACAATTTCACAACTTTCCCAAATGGAAATGTCCCCAAAAGTAAAGATTTACTGCAATTAAGACAGAGTTTGCAACAGGAGCTAAAATTTTGTTTCTTGCTTCGACTGTTTGTAGAAGTTTTTCCTCTGAGTTTCTTTAATATCTGCAGCTTTACTTACAAATTAATAAATCATTTTCTAACTAGGCTGTTAGCTATTTGGTCAGTTTGATAAGCTGCTATTAATTAGATTTACTTCTCTGTTTACTAGTACCGTATTATGCCATGCGATGTACTGTCCAATCTTACAGCTATGACAGATATTGCATGTGTACCATGGCTCTGTCCATCACTGTGAGGGAGTGTCTGAAAGAAGCCGTGAGGAACATTAAAGTCAAAGTGACATTTGTCTGAATGGCAGAATTTCGCCACAGACTGATGAAGCAACGATGTCTGAACATTGCTACGGTATATTTGTGACCACTTTTAATTATTGACACATGCTGCTTAAAGCCATTAGATTTTTAATGGCCCGATTTTGTCACAGCGTCTCCAGTGGTGCTTCTTACAACCGTATAGTCCTGATATTGTGAAAGGTTTTCTTCACCCCCTGCACTCTCACACCAGTAATAAGTCAACACTGTTTACTCTATGCATCATATACAGTCTGTACATGTCTGTGCTGCATTGCCTGATTTGTTCCACAGAGGGGTGCAGCGTACAGGTCAGCTGTCCGTCTTTGCTTCCCTATAGTTCCTCACACACACACACACACACACACACACACACACACACACTCAAACACAATCTAACTCCGATGTGATTTAGTCATGCAGCTCAAGGTCAGTGCACATCTGATGCTGACATCTATAGGGTATACCATCATGTCCTGGCTTCTAGTCATGTACTGCATGTATGTTCTGGCTGTATGTTGATGTGTTTGTGTGTGTATGTGTGGATTTGTCCCAGAGAAAGAAGCCGTCTGTGTCTCTCACTGTCCTTTCGCTCTTCATCAGCCCCCACCCTCATCCCCACACCACAGGGCTTTCCAGTTCAATGTACATCTAGTCCTAGAGAGCATAGAGTTGTCGCTGTCACCATGCTGTGACTGGTGTCACCTAGCAAAGCCTAGCCGACACACAAAACATCACAGCAGCTGAGCCTCTGTGCTGGACTGCTGCACAGCAGGTGGCCTCCCTGCTACAAAGATCCGAGTGGCTGCCTCTGTATTTGGTGAACACATGGCATTAGAGTTAGACTGGTACCAAATAACTGGGAACTGCACAGAGATGTTTTAAAGTAGAAGGCGGGCTCCTCATCTCACTACTTCAACTTGTAGGTGGTGAATGTTATCACCAAATAGCCAGAAAAAGCTCATTATAAATTATATATTAAAATAAATTGTAAATAAATAAATAAACAAGGGCTGATCGTAGCCACCTAGACTGAGACTTTTCCACTATTTTCTTCATGTCTTCTCAAAATGATATCCATGCAGTAAATGTATCATAGTCGTTCACATAGAGACAAAATAATCACCAGGTTTAAAATGAAAGTGGCTGGATGGACAGATAAAGTCTGTCGTCCCTCAACTGCAGCGGCTCTCAGGAGATGCTCGCTGTAAGGAACACAAACATGATGCAGATTAGTTCAGTTGTTGTTTAGCTTGTGTCAGTGAAACTCAAAGCTGCTTCTTGCAGGTTTTTCAAATTAAATCCTGTCCTGTCCCTGAAAGTACAAGCAGGAGTTTTAGGGCTGCACCTATGTTCTTCAGATACTGATTCTGATACCTCATCTAGAGGTATCTCCTGATACTAATTACCATCTTGAAACTAGGGCTCTCTTCTTCCAAAATAATTAAAATCTGTGTAGCTCACCGTATGTAACTCACTCATATAACGCTGACACAGACTATACATGATGATGTCAGTTGTTTTATGGACGACTGTTTTGAAACCTTAAATTTGGCAGCAAACTTATTACAAAAATGTTTACTGATGGAGACATCGGATTATTTTCTCATCTATCAAATCTGACTTCTTTTGCAACCAGAAGAAGTCGCCCTTCGCTGGCTGTTAGAATGAATGCAGGTTTAAAGCACTTTGTTGTTGATCTCACTTTGCAGAGCCAGAGGTTATGTCCATTTTATATACAGTCTGTGCACTGACATCGAGAGTATTGGTCATGTTGTAAATTTCTCTTGGAGATGAATAAAGTATCTATCTATCTATCTATCTATCTATCTATGTGGATCAGTTACTTCATGGCAAGTGCCTGATGCCTTCAGTACTGATCTGACATAGCGAACCAGGGAATTACTACTTTTATTGTAAACCATGTCCACAGGAATGTTCATGTACAGTAACTTGACATTGTCATTTGAATGAACACTTAATATATATCAGATACAAGCCCGCCATTAAAGTAAAAAAAACAAAAAACAAGTCCCAGTCGCTATTAGAGAATTTGTTGCACTGTTTCCCTCAGCTGCAGAAATGATTTTGGATCATTACAGCTGACTAGCAGAGCTTGACTCACTCTGCAGTATTCAGAGATGATTCATTCATTCAAACTTTTTAATCAATTCGTAACAGACAGTGAAGGCACAGACGATGGAGACCACTGTTGCTTGTTAACCTCTTGCTGCCACACTGAAATTGATAGTAAGACCGTGTGTGTGTGTGTGTGCAAAACCTCTGCCAGTGTGTCTGTGTGTGGAAGTACTAGGTAACACATGGTGACTCAACAATGCGGCAGCCACCAGCTCCCTATCCCTGTTACAAGATGCACAGTGCAGATTCTTGAAACCTCACGAGTCTGAGTGACAGTGCAGAGCAGAGTTGAATTCCAATAACAGAACTGAGAATAGCTACAACAGAAGTGTCATCTAAGCAGCATTTCAGCCAAACAAAAGCACAGATTTCAGAGATGTCCTGAATCATCATATGAAAATATAAAATGCTGAGGTCGGTCAGGATGCTGAAACAAACACATCTATAACTGTTAAATACTTCTAAAATATACATCTGACTCTACGGTTACCATGTTAGACGATAGGCTGAAGAAAAGGGAGAAAAAACAAGGGAGAACTCAAATCATTAACTTTTTTCTGTTGAACAAATACTGTACTCCTGATTACATAGTGGGGAAAAGGCAGAATAGGTTACTGTAGCATAGTGAGGAGATGGTTCTGCAGCCCGCCATGACACCGTTGCTGTAAGGGGAGTCTGTGGGTTCAGATCAAGCAGAACAGTAGCTTGACAGTTGCCTGGAGGAATGACAGTGTGGATCCTTGAGCATCCTTGAATATATCAGCTATCTGCTTTAGTTCGTCTTATGTTGCTGCTGCAGGTCAAGGGACCATTCTGATCCTACAAAGTTGCCCAGCAACAACCCTATAATATGCAGTATGCCTGTTGCATGGTGCATAATTAAGTTTTTCTCGCAAGCAGAACTTTGATTTAAACGTTAGTCTTTGAACTGCTGGATAGATGCATTTATATGTGTACAGCTGTTGCCTCAGTTAAAAGGAAACTAATATTCAAATTTCTTTATTCAGATTATTCAATTGTGGATTGCAAATAAAATCCTTCTAACTATTCACCACCACAATACGTACCTTTAATACAATGTGCAATACTGTTCAATCAAGGCACCACAAAGAGAAGAGACATACATTGCTGCTATTTTGTGTTGTTTAACTGTTCGACTTAGAGCTACACATTAACTACAGTAAATGCACATACAGTGAGATTGCTGTTCTGCACTGCTCTGCCAGTGTAATGAGGTTGTGCGACGCAACATTTAAGTCATTCTGATCCATTCGGCTGACGTGATTTTCTGCCTCTCCCAATTACTGTACATTGCACTGTGGAGAGCAGAGTTCTGTCGTGAGTTAGTTAATATGAAATACGACCCTCCAGAGAACCACTGTACTGTATGGGCCCTGACAGCTGCTCCACTTTAGCTGTTCTTCTATATTTATGTGCGTGTGTATGTATGTTACAGAAATCTAGAAACAAACTGGGCCAAAGTAGAACACCAACCCTGCCTCAGCGGATATTTTCCCCTGTGCTCCTGTTATCGCTCTTTGCCTTCTAACTTTCATCTCTCCTCCCTTCTGTACCTTCGGCCTTATAGAAATCAGGCTGACTGCTGCCATCCATCATAATTTCGCTTCAGACCTAAACGTTATTATACATTTTCCAAAAATTGATAGAGGCAGTTTTAGTTACAGCAACATTACTCATAATTGAACTTTCTGTCGGACGATTAAGCACTCTTGGTGTTTTTTTGTGTGTCGTCAGACAGGTTGGACACACTGTGAGTGCTACAAACCTCTATTGGCATCTACACACACCTTACGTTTGTTTTCTGTTGAGTGAGTGTGCACTCTGTACTACAGCCTGAGGTTTCTGTGAGTCAGCTGCCTTAAAGTACCCTGTTCTCTACATCAATTAGGTTGCTGCTCACCAGCACAAGAGTGCTTGTTTGTGTTTAATTCAGAGTATTTGTTCACACAGTCAGCACTGGCACATAAGGAGTTTTAATACTATCACAGCATAATATGGATTTTCCAAAGGGTTTTTTATTTGTTTCTATTTAAAGATGATTAAAAACACACATACACACTTTTGCTTGTTTGACTAAAGGGTAACAGGACAAGAACCTTCAGGGTGTGCTGATAAAGGCATAGCTTTTTGGAACAACATGCACCCCTTCTGGTCTTGGACTGAATCCATCCAGATGCTTCTCTGCTGTGTCTGATCCATTCTGTCATCTCTTCAAGCCCCCCCCCCCCCATCTCACTGAAAAAAAAATAGCTATGATAGCTACAGTAATTTACAATTCCCTAAAAATGTTTTGCAGCAAATATTTGTGTACTTTCGGTATTACAGTCGTCTTTGCTGTTGTTTTTGCATTAGTGATATGTTCTGAAGTTTCTCTGTTATTTTCTGTTTGAGTTAGACTAAGAAAACCAGTTCATGTGCACATACCCATCTCCCCCAACTTTAAACTTTGCCCTCTTCATCCACAACAAGGTGCCTTAGGCGACTGCTGGCCAGACCAGGCTGGCTGCCTATCAACAGACCTCCCTTTCACTCCCAGTGTCTCCACGGTGATCAGTCGACATGCCAGCAATCTTGCAGCCAGCCCTGACGAAGCACCTGACAGTTGGCCTGGCCGTGAGAGCGCCGCCTATGCTGGAGGCGATGAAAGGGATGGAGAAGGATCAGACCGAAAACAGAAGAAGAAGAAGAAAAGACGACAGAAAGATGAGGGATCTTTCGAACACCTTGAGAGTAGGGGCCACGGTGAAATGCAAGCACTGGGAGAAAACACTCCCCCAGCAGAGGAATTCTATCATAGGATCGGCCCAAGGAGGGATAGAGGAGAGGGTGGCTGGGAGGAGCAGCTTGGGAAGAGTGGAGGCCGGGGGAAAAGGGGTAAGAACAGGAAGAAGCTTCCAGAGGAGTGGGGAGTGATGGCGGAACCGTTTGTTCCTTCATCTGCAGCAACCTCTCAAATTACAGAGGAGGCGCTGATGGATCTCGGGAGTGCAGCTCAGGCAAACCTGGATGCCTCCTTAGCAGACATGGACACCAGCCCCTGGAAAAAAGAGGTCTACTCAGATGAAGGCCTGGTCCCTGCCCCACTGTCCGAGGATCTGTTCTCCCCAGCAGCTGCCACTATTAGCCCACTGGTCCTGAACAGTGAGCTGAAGGCCACAGCAGCTCCATTCACAATGCCCTCCACCACCAACAACACAACACTTGGTTCTTTCCCTGTGGCGTCTCCCTCTGGTGATCAATTTGATCTGTTGATGGAAAGTGAAAATGCCAGCTTGGGCCAGAGCAACCAGTCCTTCTCTCCACATTTCTCTCCAGAGAATGAAGCAGCAGGTGATGGTGATATGGTCGACAGCGGGATGTTTGACAACACTAGTTCCCTTCAAGAATCTTGCATCCAAGGCATGCCAGAGGGAGACACCTCAGCATTCAGCCCTCCCTCCCATGCAAGTCCGGGCGTTTCCCCGAAAGGTGAGGTGTTAGCCTCAGCCCCGCCTCTGTCACCTTCTGATGCGTCATGGCTTCTGAACGACTCCCATATGAGCAGCAACAGCGACCTTTTTGACTTCAGTGACATCAGCACTTCAGGCCAGCCTTTACCTTTAGGCCTGTCTTTCGACACCCCAAGTCCAGCGCCTCTCCGCTCCCCGAAAACTACAGCTCAAGATTTCCAGCCCAAAGAGCACAAAGAGGCCAAATCGACACAGAAACAGTCCAAGAAGTCCCGTTCGTCATCTTCCTCATCATCTGTTAAAAGTCCCACCTCCCCAGAAGCTAAGAAGTTCTCTCCACAGGCATCCCCTGTCACCACCCCTTCTTCCCCTCCATCAGTCAACCCTCTGGGAGTTCCAGGATCGGGTCTTAACCCTGCAGCTAAGCCCTTCTTTCCCAGCTTTGCTGAAGAACCAACAGAAGAACCAACTGTGGTCCCTCAAGTTGTCCCCGTCATCGAAGGTTGGTTGTAGTCAGCCATGGACAAAGTAGAAGTACATAGAGTAGCTACAATAAAAGGACGAATGTTTGCCATGCATGATGATTCCATCCAGCTTGGTTAGTTCCAGTATTTCAAACTTGTTTCAAATTTGCTTTTTTGGGCAGGATTGATTGCTTGTGTGTTTTTTAGATTAATAATTCGACCCATTTGTACTGTTCCTTGCATGGACACATTTGTCTAAATCTTGGCTGGTGCTTATTGGCTTGTCCAATGTGGACTGTTTGTGAGTGACTAACGCATGGACTTAAGTATTGACCAACTGGGGCTGTGGATTGGCTTGACTTTAATCTGTGAGTATCTTAATTCTCAATGTTCACTGCTGGAGTGTTCTCATAATTCACAGTGTTGCTGTTGACGGGTGAACTGCTACTAACTAACCCAAAGACTTTCTCTTTAATGACACAAGTAGGCATCTTCACCAAATCCAAACCAACTCTCTCGTTTTCTCTTCTGTCCAGGTGTATTAACACTATAATCATGATCCCTTTCCTTTGCATCCAGAGGTGCAGTGTCACTCTGTCTTCTCTCTCCTGTTAACTCTGTTTTCCTCACTACTGTAGCCACGTGTGATTCACCAATGTTGTTACACACCAACATTTCACGTCTTGGTGTGTCTCCTTTTAGAAAATGTCAAATTGTAATTTCTATTTTTGTTGATTTTACTTTCCATGTTCCATGATGATTGCTTCCTCTGCTGCTTTTCCATCATAGGTGAGTCCTATTTTAATTCCTCTTTTGGCTGTGATGTTTTTTTGTTTTTTTTTTCTTGAATCCTTGCTGCAGCTTGTTACTGAGGTGGTTAGAGAATGATGGACACACAAGCAGACAGTTGTTTCTTGTGTGCAAGATTCATCAACAAGGCAGCCGTTGCTTAGAACAGACAAGGTTTTCCTACAGTCTATGCACTCAAAGCAAAGGCTGTCTTCTCATTCTCGGCATCACGTTAAGTCTTTTTTTTCTGAGTGGCATGCTCTGTGTTACTTCTCCCATGAATTGGTTTCTATGGTTAGGATGTCCAAAGACTGTCTTTTTGGTGGAATTCAGTGGACACCTCTACTGTTTGCAGACCATGTCTTCTTGGCTTCATCAGGCCATGACCTGCAATGTGCACAGGAGCAGCTTACTCCCCGTCTGGAGTGATACTTGTGTTTCCAACTTTTTAATATGGTCATAGGCTTTAGATAGTGACTAAAAGATGAGGTTGCAGATGCCACTGGCCAAAAGTAGAGTGCTGACCTCAGGTCTAAAGACAAGATTAGAAGTTCAAACATCCACATAATATTTAGGGTAGATTTGCACCAAAAAGGAGTAAGGTGCGGTGGTTTGAACATATGATGAGGAGGCTTCCTAGATGTTTTTTTATGGCTAGACCATTTAAAGGACGCCCATAGGTAAGCTTAGAACATGCTGGAGGGACTATATGTCCCATCTGGACTGGTAAAGGCTTGGGATCCCCCAGGAGGAGCTGTAAGACTCACTGGGCAGAGGAGTGCCTTTTCTACCTTGCTTCACTACCTTGCAGCCACATCTTGGAAGAACACGAATGGAATAGTGGATTGGTACGGTTAAGCTGTCAGCTTTCTGTCATTTTTAGAAAAAAAAAAAAGAATAGATTTGTGTAAGAGTGACTCATTAAGAACAAGTTTGATCAGATTAGGGAATAGTGATGCTTATGTTGTAAGTACAACAGTCTGACTTGTCTTTGTTAACTTTAAATCACGAGTTATAAGACTGAACCGGTAGCCAGAATGGGCGGTGCTGATCTGTCATGCTCTTGTTTAAGTGTTAAAGGGATTTGAAGTAGTGCAACTTTAACAGGGGAAGAGTGTTCAACAGACTGGGGAATAAGAATGTTTACAGCAGACAGAGATGGGAAATTAAAAATATAACTAGTTGAAGCTGGTGCTTTTGTATGTGTGAATAGAACGTCACGTCTATCTGTGAGGTTATCCTGATAGATGATGTGGCCATTTCAGTGTATATCTAAGAGCATTTTGGCATTGCGGATGTGCCCACGCAAGCTCCTTGTGTGTCTGCATGACTGCATGTGTAGGTTTGTCCCTCGCAAGAGGAATTGAAGTGTTTTTTTGTGTGCTGCTGTGATTTGTGGCGATGCAGAGTTCCAGAGGATTCATTTCCTCGTCCTTCGTTTCAACACTTCCTGCCTCCCATCGGAGGCTGTAATGAGGAGCGATCCAGCCTTCAGCTCGCCACGGGAACAGCACAGTGTTGAACCTGCCTATTAAGCAGCTTTGATCAATGTACAGCCCCCCACATCCTTCCTCAAGAACAGAGGGGCTTGCATGACTATTTTTGCCACTTCCAAGTCACATAGATAAAAATGTAAGGCAGCTTTGTGAATGGCAGATCTGTGTGATTGATGTTCATGAGTTTGTTTGTTTTTCCATTTACCAAATAGCTGTGTGTGAATGTGGACATTTGTTGTATTGATATGTGTGTTCACATATAGACGTCTCTGTCAGTTGTTGTTGTTGTTGTCCTGAATCAGATTTGATTCCTATGAAGTGTACATACGGCTCATGTATTGGTGCATACAATATATGTGTGTGTATACGGGATAGTAAAAGTGCAAGACAGAGTGGAGTGCAGCTGGCTCTGTCTTCTCTCTGTGTAATGAGACCTTTTGTCAGTATCCAGGGTGGGTCCTTGTCACCAAGAGTAGTATTTAAGCATTGTAGAAAAAATAAGAAGACATGTAGAGCACAATAAAGAACAAGAAGAAAGACTTCAGAGGGTTACAGATGGGGAGTACAGTGCATGGAGTCAGGAAAAAAAAAGGGTTTCAAAAGGGAAACAGAGGGATGTACAAGAATGTTATTCTATACCAGAGGAATGAGAGGCAAAGAATAAAGGGAGAGACGGGGGCTGCTGTATTAAGACTTGTGGGACTGATGAAGGAATATGCAGGGATGAAGAGAATGCTGAATGGATGAGGACAGTTTATAAACTTTCTTGTGATGAAAAACAGAGGAATAAGAACAAGGGGGACTAGTCTCGATTGAGATGTAAACCTTGTGTGAACCTATATATACCAGAGAACCCACAGTGTGGTTGTTATTCCCTGTTATTCCCACAGAGAATAGAAGGGCCCAGAAAGCTCTTACTTGAAGGGTTCATTCACTGTTTATTTTTGGAGTCAGATAAAGATATATTCATATCAAACCAGTATGGACTGATGCAGCTTCACAGTGGATTTCTGCGCCTGGTTTTCAGTCTACCTCATTACCTACCTGCTAAACTATTAATAGTCAACCCAGAGTACAAACTGTATCCTTGTGACTGCACAAGACATCTGTCTACATATCTACCCACACATGCACAGCCCGGTCCATACATAAACTTACATCATTTCACTCTATTTCTTTCTTTGCTATCCACTGTGCTAGCTTTTTTTTTTTTTAACTCTCAAAATGTTATATTTTATATAGAAAATAGTCCCTTGACATCTTAAATCACAATACATACTGCTCACAGTTTTGAATACAGCCAGGCAGAAAAGAGTAGAGGCGGCAGCATGCATTGGATTCATTTAGCCATTGTCTAAAACAGAACATAAGACTGTAATTTAAGGCAGGTCTTATTTTGAAAACTAAACCCAGCCTAACCTTTACCCTAATAAATAAAACAAAAGTACAACTGAGGCTTAAAGTCCGAGGAAATTAGAAGCACTGATACAAGAGACTGCAACCAGGCCATAAAAGAACTTTAAAAAAACAAAACATCATAGCGTTGCAATAACTACCAATACTTTCAGACTTATTTAGAATAGTTAAACCAATTTTACAGGTAAACACATGGAACGATTTCTGCACTAATCAAAGAAAAACAGTGAAGCTTTATAGCAACAAGACTCAAAAACAATTGTGCAAAAAATTAAGTATGTTTTATCATTTTTAAGATTTTAGGTTAGACCCAGTCAGAATGAACCTGTGGCCCAATTTTGGACCTCGAGCCACTGGTTGGGAGTTGCTGCTGTAGTGTGTATATTGGCTGAAATCACATAAAATAGATTTAAGTTTCTTTTTCACCTTCAGCCTCACTCTCACTGTTTCACATTCTCTTGCTACACATTTTTCCTGTCACTTCTAAACTCACTAGTTCAAATAAAAAAGTAGAAACGGGGCCAAAATAACCAGGAGGAGCATTCAGGCCACATCACAACAACACCTGATCTCCTCCACCACCAAAAACTATTCCTTCTCTCTCAGACGGCGCTAAAACACAGGTGCCAGCCAGTATAAAGGCTGCAAATGTACATCGCTGTGCTGCGGTGCGCCTGCACAGACACACATACAGTTACACAACTGAGTCAACGAGCTATTTGGGAACAAACACAAATCCTCAAAAGGCAGGCAGGCGTGAATATACTGTATCAGCGGTCTATTTTTACCACATAGTGCTTTTCGCTGTTGTTCAGGCTCATTTCATTGGAGCACAGGCTGTTAGATGGTGGCCCAGAAGGGACATGTGTACAGTATGGCCCCATCCCTGATCTGGGGTGAGCTAATGTCTTTTGATGGCTTTGGGGGAAGCGTTGTGCTGCGTTGTTGGTGCCACTGTTAGAGCCAACAGCTGAGTGTAGGACAAGAGTGTGAGTCACTCTGGGCTTGTTTTTCACCAAGAACAGGTTCTCAGCTCATACTGAGATGGCTCGGAGCCAACAGTGTAGGCTTTGAATTTAATGCATTTTGATATTGAAATTTATAAAAATGAATTGCATCAGCTCAGTCAGTGGAAATTTTGGAATGTTAAGCATTTGTCTGCTGCATTACAAACAGCTCTGAATATGCAGTGCACACCCTCTATTCACATGTCTTGTTTTTTTGAGACAGTGCGAAGATATTTTAGCATTTTTGTGATAAATAGTTGTTACTGCAGTGTGCTCTCGTGTGTTGATTCTATTTTTTATTTTTTATTTTTTTAATCAGAAGTTGCCATT